CACACACACACACACACACACACACACACACACACACACACACACACTCACACACTCACACACAGAAGTTTGTCTCCAGAAGTTGTTTTGAAGGGCTTTATGTTAGGGTAGCATAAGTCAGTCTGTATACAATACCTGCATCTTCACTCTCTGACACTGTTGACTCTGACACTACAGCTGATGTGCGGATGAGAGGAAAACAAGACAGTTTAGACAGACACATGACACACATTGTTATGATGGACACACACACACTCTCACACAAACAGAGTTTAGATGAATTTCCCATTCAGAAACTCATCACTCATAACATGCCAAAACAAACAGACGCTAAATCAGATCGAGAGAAATCCAGCACCAGAAGAAAAAAAAAACCCTTTAAAAGATGTAAAGCATCAAAACAAAGAACCGATGTATACTATGAGCACAGATGAATGAAGTACATAAATCTCAAACACGCACTACAAACACAGACCACCATCGATACACTATTTTCCCCACAAAGTACTATAAGCAACGCTACAACTTATAATGTATACAATGCATTTATAATGACTCGCATGCTATTTTGCCTAAATTCTGCTCTCATTTAAACTATTGTATAAGTTTCACTTGAAAAGCAATCAAAGATCTTAAAACATGAAATTGACAACAAAATCCCACAAGCCTCCAGTTTCATTTGAACACGCACTACAAACACAGACCACCATCGATACACTATTTTCCCCACAAAGTACTACAAGCAACGCTACAACTTATAATGTATACAATGCATTTATAATGACTCGCATGCTATTTTGCCTAAATTCTGCTCTCATTTAAACTATTGTATAAGTTTCATTTGAAAAGCAATCAAAGATCTTAAAACATGAAATTGACAACAAAATCCCACAAGCCTCCAGTTTCATTTTACATGTGCTGTAAATGTACTGCTTAATGTAGTTTATTCTATTGTTCTGTTTTTCATCTTTACATCAGTTGTAAGTATTGATAATTCCAGAAAGGAAAACTGTATTCTCCAAATCTTATAGACTAAAGACATCAGTGAGAACTGATTCATCATGTAAATGACTATGAATGTGACCTTACTTCTACCTCAAGTTGCCATAGTGACGCCAAAGAAAAATTAGCAGTTCAGTTCGACATCTATACTTGAACCTTCATTCAGATGCCACAATCTGCACTATAAAAAACAGAAACACTGGGCTGATGATACTAATAATAATCACTGGTTCCATACATAAATCCTTGTGACTTTCACTAGGCGAGACGCAGCATACTTCAGTACCCTGTTAAATTAGCTGCACCATGTAGGTTATGAAAACTAAATCTGCTATAATGCTAATGCATTATACTATTTATGTTAATATTATGCTGTTGTAAACAATGGATTCTTGATCCACTGAAGTAGGACTTTATATGTAATTTCCTAATTCTATTGTCTTTGAAAGTGCACTGCTGAATATACTGAAAAATATTTATGGTAAACTAAAATATACTTTAATGTCTTTACTTATACTTTCTTTTTTTTAAATCAATTCCTCTAAAATAAATCAGACTTGTTGGCACTTCCCAGCAGGCAAACACCCCATCACCAGTTGATGTTCAAAGATCACAAAAAGCAACACTACATTTTAGTTGTCATGCCATATAGAGCCGTGACTACAGAAGGTCCTTAACAAATAACACAGCAGCAACACGAGCAGCAAAAGCAGAGAGCTACAAAGCAGAAGAAGAGCGGAAATCTAGATCCCTCAGAAGTGCACTAGGATCGATCTACTCTACTAAGGGCCGATGAAGACCGCAGGTTGTGCCATACCAGGAGCTTTCTTCTGCTGGTCCTCCCATGTGACCTCTGAAGTTACAACACAAGGAGAAAGAGTCAATGCTTCTGCTTAACAAAGCTGTTAATTAGATGTGCACAGTTCAGGCCTGCAGAGCGCACATACTGTATAAGGCACATTTAGCCTGTTCAAATTACAATTACATGCAATTCACCCTTATAGACTTTTTAAAAAATACAGTGATTTTTTCTCTCTCTATCTATAAAAGAAAAATACTTTCTAATTTTTTCACTTGTCGTAATTAACAAAAAAAATAGCAATTTATTATTTTAGTAATTTATTAGTAGTTATTTATTTTATTACTTATATATATAAATATATAAAATGTAAAAATCCTCAAATATATATATATATATATATATATATTTATATCATTTCTAACTGTGAAAGTGAAGCTGATTTTTTTCTTTTCTTTTTAAAGGCGTGCTATTGAGCCATCTACAGGTGAGCGATGGTATTCAGTTTCCACGTGTGTAAAGTGGCTTAAAAAACATAATAATAACCAATTATTCTTAATTAAAATAATAGCTAATCCCACAAAACTAGAACAATAGTTCAGCTTGGTGTAAAACCAGAATTTCTAAACATTTTCAGTAACAAAATAGCTTTCTTGATGACATCCCCAACACAATCATAGCATAAACACACTATATATCGGATGGCAGCCGTCACGTACTGCAAATGTATATGACATCTACTTGTACTAAATCTCTCCAACACAAACACACAGTAAAACATCATTGAGAGATTCACACGCTCACACACACTTGCCTTTCCTCCCATTGACAGCTGGGGGAGCTACAGGTTTTTCCTGGGATTCTTGTGTGGGAAATGACACACACATAAACAAAGGGTGAGTCGAAAAATCAGTGTTTTCCACAAACACACAGGTACCCTCTAAACGTGCTAAAACACACACACACACACATGCTTACGAGAAGCTTCCAACACTATTAAAGCAATGGCAAAAGATGAAAAAGAAATATTGTTGAAAGCTAAATAAATGATGTAAAGAAACAGGCCCTTGGACTATGTTCAGAACAGCATACTACTCTTACTATTGGATTTGTGCAGTATGCCGTTTCTAGCATACTACTGATTCTAACATACTATGATTTAGTATTCCATTCCAAACGCAGGCATGTCCTTGTGTTCAACTCATTTGGATTGACACACCTGGCACAGAAGCCTGCTGGATAAGCGGTGAGGCTGATGATGGAGCAGCAGCGGGTGGAGGAGGAGGAGGAGGAGGGGCTGGGGCAGGGGGAGGAGCATGTACTGGAGAGGGAGGGGCATGTGTGGGTGGGGGAGTGGCAACTGAAGAAGGCAGATGGGCAAGTGCAGGAGAGGGAGGAGCATGTGCAGGAGGAGGTATGTTGGGGCCCAGGACAGGAGGCTCCATCCAGACATGAGCTTTGATGATGACAACATGATTGGCAGAGACAGAATTGTGGACAAAAAGAAACATAAGAAAATTAACAAGAGGATCATATGGATGAACATTTATGAAATGTATTGATGCACCAAAATATGAAAAAAAAACAAAGATCCTAAGCCTTAAATATTTAAAGGCTACTTTAACAGATCAAGTTAACAATATATATATACATCAATAATATAGTTATTTTTACTTTAACTACTTTATTTAATAATACTTGTTTTATTATTTGGAAAACATTTTTTAAGAAACTCTGTGTAATACAACTATGTAATATGTACACTATCATTCAAAAGTTTGAGTCATTACGATTTATAATTTTTTTAGGTTTTTAAAGAGGTCTCTAATTTTCACCAAGGCTGCATTTATTTGATCAAAAATACAGATACATTTCTTATTATTACATAGAAATCTTTTGTAGAAATGTAAAAGTTTTTAATGTTATTTCTGATCAATTTAATGTAACCTTGCCACAAATAAATAAAAACCTTACCACAAATTTTAAATGGTAATGTATAGACTTGCATATAACAGTATATATATATATACTGTATATATACAGTAACTTATATATAAATCAAGTGGCAGGAAAATATTATATTATATAGAATACAGTTATTCCAAGCAAATGCTAATTTTAAATAAGCATTTTTGATTTCGGAAAAAAAACATTCATTTCGGTGCATCACTAATAAAGACAAATGTCTATGTCTGCTATATAACGACAGCATTACCAGCCATTGCTTGTGTGGCTTGAGGAGGTGGAGGGGGTGGGGCCAAGGGGTGTGAAGCCCCTCCCACCACTTCAACATTCAGACAGAAATGAGAGTAAGAAAGACAGACAGAAGTATGCCATCAGAAATGAAGATGAGAACAACAAAAATGTGAAAAGAAAAGCTAAAATAACGTCCTATACCATTTACTCCACTTGGTCACTAAACATACTAACTACAGTATGCTACAGTAACCTCAAATGCAAATACAATTTTGCAAATTGAGTAATTTAATAACAAAAATGTAGAGATTCATTGAAGTGTACTATACATATTCTATCAACAAACTTTGATGTAAATGCCAGAATATCAAGATCATATTTGCATTTTCCTGATTTTAAGTGTCCCATGTGTCCTAAATATAATTTAACAGCCACAGTCTGTGGAGGAACGAACAGGGGGCGGAGCAGGAGGCTGAGGTACCGCCCCTGTTCCTGCTTCATTGGTTGATGAGTTGTGCCAATCAAAAGAGAAAACAAACCAAAATGTCAAAGAACTAACCAATAAACTATCACTGTGTGACTGAGAAGATCACTTCTAAGTGCAGACTGCTATTTCGAAAACACAATAAAAATATATATTTATCACTTAACATTGCTCATATGCCAATGATTATCACTTCTAAGGTTGCTGAGCCTCTGCTATAAACATACAAGAACTACTTTGGTTATTCAGCAACTTAAATGCTGTCAGAAGATGTTACTAACGTTAAAGGTCTGACATAAATTGCAAGTACCTCAACACATTTCAATAAGGGCATGTAGATTTGTATGGAAGCCTGTCTACACTATAGAATAAAAAATATAAAAAAGGTAATTGCAATATTTTATCTCACAATTCTAACATTATTTCTTGCAATTTGAATCTCATAATATTGAGTTAACATTTTGTAATTCAGACTGTTATCTCAGAATGGCCAGTTTATATCTCACACTTGGGACTCAGTTCTGACTTTTTCTGACAATTTTTTTTTTTATGATTACGGAATTATACCTCGCAATTTGGCATTTTCCAATTAGAGACCAATTAGGTATTTTTTTCCCCTCAGAATTTACACTGAGTTTACTTCTATCATCTTCCAAGAAAAAAGTACTAATTGTGAGAAACAAAGTCAGAATTGTGAGATAAAGTTGAAATTACCCATTTCGTGGCATAAACAGGCTTCCATATTTGTAATATCCATTGTAGCGGATTTGGACATTAATCCAGACATGGACGAAGTACACAGACTACACAGCATACATTGAAAATGATACATGTACAGAACTATTAATTGCACTAACATTGCTGAAGCAAAAACTAATACATCTGTTCAGTCCACTAAATGAATGGTAGTAGCTAGACCAATGACAGGTAAAGCTCACAGACCAGAGCTAACAGGTATAGTCAAACAGAGGAGATGATAAAGCTGTAATAAAGAAGACTGAGACGAAGCTAAACACACAGAAGCTAGTGCTTACAGACCTTCATAAGGCTCAGTAATGCCCTCGTCATCTTCTGGGAAAAAGGTGGGCGAAAAAACATCCATGTTGTGTTATTCTATTGTAACATAATATTCTTTACCTGGCTTTTGTGGTCAAGATGGTTGTTTTTGCATAAGCCATTTTTGTGATAACTATTGTGCAATAATAGGTTATAATTATTTACTTTGTTGAATTTCTGTCAGTTATCCAATGGAAAGGTTATTCTTATCGTCCACATAAATGCATCTGGACGGCATCTGGTGACCCTAAACCCAACTAATTATTCAAGTTTTCCACCCAAGCGCCACAAACCCTGCAGTCTGGAAGAAGCCTGGTTTGTCTACTCACTTCTGTCCATAGAGCTCTTTGGTGGGACTTGCGGTAGCTGCCGACCTCTTCGACTCGATACTGGCGTGCTGCTGGGACTTGTTTGGACCGATCCCGTTCGGATGTTTGCCCTGCGGGACAGATGGTGTGTCAGGAATCAACGTAAAGCACTACATCTAAAGAAGTGCTCGTGGTCGAGTAATAAACCTGCCCAAAACAGTTAGACTAAAGCAGAACACTGGTGAGAGCATACTAATAAAACAAACCTTCTAACTACTTTTACATTGGCAGGATCATTTAGCAATGAGACATTAGTGTCAGAAAACACACTTCACTTGAATGCTATAAAAAGGGACACATACTGTATACTATTAAACAAAACAAGTCAATATTTGGCACACTTTTTTCTGGGGTTAGTAAAAAAAACTAAAAGAAAGTAAAATCATCTGGTGAAATATATGTCCTGTAGATAAGGTAAGTCAATGTGCTGTACAGCAACCCACATAAGACTGTAGGCTCATATCACCAGTCAAGTCATATTTCACTCCAATATCAAAAGAACTAAATAAGAAATTGTATTTTTCAGCCTATTTTAGGACAATTTTTGTATGTGACATAATTACCACCAAAAGTATACATATTCTCTCCCTCCCCTCCATTACTAAAACTTCTCACTATAAATAAATAAATAAAAAACAATTATTATTTTCATTACTGCAATGCTATATATATATATATATATATATATATATATATATATATATATATATATATATACAAGTTGGCACACCAGATCCTCCTGTGGGCCCAAGGAAAACTCCTCTCAGTCAGAGCAGTTTACATCCCTGGACACTTGAATTAGGGAGCAGACATCCTGTCTAGACAGGCTGAGGCCCGGGGAATGGAGGCCCCACCCCGAGGTGGTGGAGCTCCTCTGGAGGGGGTCCAGCCAGGCGGAAGTGGATCTATTTGCATCGCAGGAAATGACACACCATCTGGTCTGGTTCTCCTTCACGCATCCAGCTCTATCTTCTGCTAGTAGCCCCATTGTGGCCAGCCCAAGTATGGTTCTTGGACCTTGTGTCCCTTCTCGATGGCTCTCCCTTGGAGATTCCAATCAGGAGGGACCTCTTCTCTCAGGTGGGGGGCTCCATCCTTCACCCCCGCCCATAGTTATGGAAACTGTGGGCGTGGCCTTGAGGGGGCACAGCTCTTAGCATTCAGTCTTTCAACTGAGATTGTTGAGACCATACTCCAGTCCAGAGCTTCCACCACAAGGAAAGAGTACGTGCTGAAGTGAAAACATTTTACCTCTTTGTGCGGTCAGCGACTGCAAAATACAGTCAACTGCCCAGTTGGTACAGATCTGCCCCTCTGGGTGGTCAGTCATTGGGAAGAAACCCACTCGGTACTCGTTTCCTCCGTGGCACTTTGAGGCTGAGACCAGCACAGTGCACCAATGTGCCCAGACATTGAGGTGGTTCTGGAGGGCTTGTGCAATGCCCCCTTTGAACCCATTGAGGAGGTTCCAGATATGTTCTTCACCTTGAAGACGGTCTTACTCCTTGTTATATCCTCACTCAAGAGGATAGGGGATCTTCAGGCACTGTCAGTATCTCCCTCCTGCCTGGAGTTTGCCCCAGGCATGGTTAGGGCCTTCCTTTACCTGAGGCACGGGTATGTCCCTAAGGTGCCCACCTCTATGCTAGGGTCCATAGTGCTGCAAGCCTTCTGTCCTCCTCCCTTCCAGAAAGCTGACCAGGAGAAGCTAAATCTTCTCTGTCCAGTGTGAGCATTGGACGCTTACGTCCACAGAGCTGGCCAGTGGCGTAAGGCAGATCAGATGTTTGTTTGCTTTGATCCACCTAAGAAGGGCTTTCGGGTGACCAAGCAGACCCTGAGCAGGTGGGTGGTCGAGGCCATCTCACTTGCTTATGAGTCCTCTGGCCTCCCAGCACCTATGGGGGTCAGAGCCCACTCAACCCGGAGTATGGCGGCCTCCAAGGCCTTATTCGTGGGTGCTTCCCTGCAGGACATTTGTGATGCGGCGGGCTGGTCCTCTCCGCACACATTTGTTCAGTTGTATAATCTGGACCTGGCTTCTAACCCCAGGATCCCAAGTCTTCTCATCTTGATGTGCTCGTCTGATACACACCAGACAGGGACTTGTTAGTATGGCGCAAAGGGCATTCTCATTCCCAAACCATTCCAATGCAGATCGAGTTCCCTGAGGGTGTCCCTGCATCCCTATAGCGGCTTACTTCATACTATCAGAAGCTAACATGCGCTGTGCCGGGTGCACTTTTAAGCTTCCTGGTTGCTCACGTCACCCGGCTCGTGACGTCTCACTTCTCCATTGGACTGATTCCACACATGCTTCAGAATGTGGTCACACAGAGGCATTCCCAAAGTATTCTGACACAGAGTCTCGTTCCCTTTAAAAAGTATCACCCAACTTTAAAATAATCAAATTTTGTTGCTTTGCAGCCTGAAAAGAAGACGGACACAGTTTTTGTTTTATCCAGCCGTATTTATAACATCCAAGTGAAAGATATAACACCAACATGTCATAAAAAAAAAAAACAGAATAACGGAAAAAGGATCAACCCGTGTGTCAGTATTTTGTTGAACCACCTTTTGCTTTAATTACAGCCTTTAATCTGTTGGGATATGTCTCTACTCACTTTGCACATCTAGACTTTGTAATTTTTGCCCACTATTCTTTGCAGAACTGCTCAAGTTCATTTAAATTTGATGGTGACCGTTTGTGGACTGCAGTCTTCAAGTCATTCCACAGATTTTCAATGGGGTTTAAATCTGGGCTCTGACTGGGCCATGTAAGGACATACACCTTTTTCTTCTTTAACCACTGTGTGGTCAGTTTTGCTGTGTGCTTTGGGTCATTGTCATGTTGGAAGGTAAACCTTCTTTCCATTGACAACTTTTTGGCAGAGGGCAGCAGATTTTCCTTTGACGGTATTTTGCCCCATCCATTTTTCCTTCTATCCTGACAAGTGCTCCAGTCCCTGCTGCAGAGAAACACCCGATAACAGGATATCACCACCTCCATGCTTTACTGTAGGAATGGTGCTATTTGGATGGTGAGCTGTATTTGATTTGTGCCAGACATATTGTTTGGTGCTGAGGCCAAATAATTACATTTCAATCTGTCTCAGAATCTTCAAGGTGTGTTTTGGCAAAGCTCAGTCGTGACTGCATGTTGCCTTTCTTGAGGAGTGGCTTTTTTCTTGCAACCCTCCCAAACAAGCCACATTTGTGGAGAATTTGTGATATTGTTGGCACATGCACACAATGATCAATGATCTCTTTGTCATAAATTCCTGCAGCTGCTTCAGAGTTGCTGTAGGCCTCTTGGTCGCCTCTCTGAATATTACTTTTTTGACCAGTTTCCTCCGGCTCTTTCATCCAGTTTGGAGCAACGTCCTGATCCAGGGAGGGTCTGTGTTGTACCAAATACCTTCCACTTCTTAATAATAGACTTCACTGTGTTTCTAGGCATTGATAAAGACTTTGCAATTGTTTTGTATCCATCTCCTGACTTGTGCCTGTCCACAACTTTATCCCGGAGATCTTTTGACAGTGCCTTGCCACCCATAGTTGATTGTTTGCTTCAGTTGCACTTCCAAGGACTGAAATGCTCTTGGAAAGCTCTTTTCATGCTGAGCTGATCAAAATGACCACAGTTGAAAATCAAATGGCTTTGTTTGTGTGCCATTGAGAAGATGATTAGCTACACCTGATTGAGTTTACAAGTCATTTTTAGGAGGGGGGTGATTCTTTTTTCCAACTCAGTGATTCTAGTTTTTTTTCTGACATATTGGTGTTATATCTTTCACTTTGAGTTGCACTGATTAAATACAGCTGGATAAAACAAAAACTGTGTCTGTCTTCATTTCAGGCTGCAAAGCAACAAAGTGTGATTATTTTAAAGGGGGTGACTCTTTTCTATACCCACTGTATATATATTATGTAATTATGTAATATTTAAATTGTAATGTTTTACTAGTGTTTGTAGCATTGCTTTTCATTTACACTGATTTGCTGAAAGAAATTGCATAAAAAAGTTTTTTATATACATTTATAACCATGTATTTTGTAAATACTAAAAGTTAAGTAATGCAAAGTCTTTGGTGAAAACTTATTTTTCATTTGTGAGGAAGTAATTTGTAAAAGCCTTCATGAGCCGTTTAAACCATTCCAGCACCTTTGTTCTATTAGTCTGTTTTATTATTACATATTATGTGCAAAAGTTTTTTTTTGCACATAATATAGAAATAGAAATGAGAAATGAAATAGTAATAATACAGAAATAAAAATAATATAGAAACAAAAATTAGAATCAACATTTAAAACGAATACACAATAAACCATCTGGACACATACTAAAAATCACAATGCAAAAAAATCTTACTGAATCTAAAACAGGCTTAATTGTATTTTTATAAAATAATTTCTTACTTTTATCTTCCAATTTTGTGGTGAAATATGACCTAGCATGTTCTTGACAGAATTATTCCGTCAGAATAAAACATCTGACCATATAAGCATGCATTTAATAAATATGTCACAGTCATGTGCATTTTAGCCACGTAAAAATATGAATACATACGTTTAAAATGCACATCAACTCCACAGTAAACACAATGATCTGTAAAGCACCTTTTGAGCTCAGTGTCACATCAGCTTTCAGTACATGTGGCTCACATCTCAATGTCAACTGTGGCACATCCAAAAGCTACCGCATCAGTGAAAGTTCATGTGCAAATCTGACACATTTATATCATTTCCTAGTGACTTATGATGTGCCGGGCAAATCGTAAGTCAAAAAGTGTTATGGTGTCTCAAAAGGTGTGATGGAGTCAGCATCAGGAGAGGTGCTTGTGGCTGCTAAAGCTGCAAGGAAAGTGAAAAGGCCTAAATGCATGAGCACACGGCACTCATAACAGCCCATAACTCAAAGCATAAACTGTTAAACAACAAATAAGTAGTGTTAGTAACACACACACAAAAAAAAAAAAGTCAAAACAAAACTGTACGATGCCAGGTACACACCATTCTATATCTCAAGAGGATATAACAGGTGTGTCTATAATCCAAATGAAAAGAAGTTAGTAGCAACCATCATCACTACTCTCTACTCTATAAATGAAGATAAAATCATAAACAGCATCGTTACAACACAGGGTTAAAATAAGAGGATGTGGAGAGAGGGGCATTCCAGGTGACAGGAAGCAGAAGGCATGGGTTCGTTTAGCGCTTTAGTGCTTGTTGTGATGGGTCGGGTCACCTCGTTAAGGCAGGAGAGGGAGGGGCGGATCTCCCTGACGGTAAGGACGGCATGGATCTCATGTAGCCGGAGTCGGGCCGCTCGGACGAGCGGGAGCGCGTGTAGACCGGTCGCTCCATCATGGGCCGCTGGTCAGCTGACCTGGACCTGTAATGGTCATGTCTGTCCACCATGCTGCGGCTATACCTGCAGAACGTTAGTCAAAAAGCCACGCTCAGCGGAGCCCCAGAGCATCATGGGATCACAGGGCATAAAATTACTCTCAGCTGTTAGGTCACTCCTGTGAAATGATATCGCTTGGCTAATAATTACCACACCAAACAAAAGTGGCTTTAAGTTTCAGCATTGGCTGCTCAGGGAAATCATAAAACGAAGGACTAAACTGGAACAACCAAAAATAAGTGTTAACCAACAATTTGACATGAAACAAACAAAAAGAAGATTCAGGAGGCTGCTGCAAAGAAAACAAGTGAACACATTTCATACTAACACAACTATAAGCCCCGTGTCTACAGTCTACTCTACTCCTATATACTCTATCTATGGCAACACTCGCACAAATTCTGCTGTATTACCTCAGATCTTCCTCAAAGTGCTCATGGTTAGCTGGGAACTCTGGGATATTGTCCTCTCTATAGAGGTGCATAAGAGAAGAACATAAAATGCTAATTTAGTAGCTCTTATAACCGTAAGGAGTTGCTAAACAGCCTTATTACATAATATACCCTCGTGAAAAAATATTGAATGTGCTTGTAGTGTACTTCAAGTCTTAAAAGTATACTTTTAAAAACCGTACTTGCAGATAATACAATATAATATTAATGAAATAAAAGGCTGCTTAAGTGTACTTAAATAGAGATATTCATGACAAGTGCTGGGGAAAGTTACATTTAAAAGTAATGCATTACAATATTGCGTTACTCTAAAAAACAAGAAAGGAACTACAGTACAGTATTACTTACAGTAGTTACGTTTTATGGAAAGTAATGCATTCCGTTACTTTTGCGTTACTTTTTGTAACCTGTGCTGAGCTTGCTTATTTGTCTTATTTGCATGTTTATTACAACTGTAGAGGCCTTTTCACACCAAAAGTGAAATTAATAAGCCTCAGGCTGAAGGAAGTGCCTCTGCACCTCACTCCCAATTCCTCTCAACACTGGACAAGAGAGATGTCAGTGAATAAATGGGAAAACAAAGTAACTGGCATTACTTGTTTGAAAAAGTAACTCAGATTTGTTGTTGTAAATTTAAAAGTAAACTACTAGTTACTTGAGAAAAGTAATCTGAACTCATGTTACTTGTAACACTATTCACGACTGTTTCTTAACACACTTAAGTAGACTTTTAAAAAGTGCACTTTGTAATAATGTCAAATTAGAAGTTTTACTTTAAAGTATATTTAAAATCATTATGTTTTAATACTCTTTGTTCATGTTTTAAATGTACTAAATTGCACTTTTATCATCACATATGATTAATTACAAATATACTTAAATACAGGACATACAAGTTTCAATAGTGACATTCAATTATATTTTGCTTTACCATAAATGCTTGTTAGTACATTCAGCAGTTACACTTTAACCATATTTCAAAGTCACTGGAAGTAATTATGAAATTACATATAAAGATGTACTAAAGTCCTCCTTAAGTAAGAAAAATAATGCATTTAAAATACATTTAAACTATAATACATTTTCATTGAATTGGATTAACATGCAATTAAAGTGTCTGAAAACATTGCATTCAGATCACACTTAAGCATTTTTAAAGCATAATATTTTTGTAATAAGTACATTTATCCAAAAGAGTACTTCTTTTTCACAAGGATATACTGAAAATGCACTCTTCAAAGTGAGAATCGGGTACTAGTTCAAACTAAACTAACTAAAACTAAATATAATTACATTCTAAAAACTAGCTACCATACTAAGACACTAAGATGATTCAGCTAACACCAGTGATGTTTATGAAATCTTCTATTTATATAGGAAGCAACATATTATTTGTTTTTCACTGTGCTTCTGCCATTATACCAGAAAAGCTGCCAGAATACCCGAAAACATTAAAAATGCTGTAAAATGTAAAGGTCACAGGACAACTACAACATCTAAATCCAACTTGAGTCTGCACTGAAACTACTGCATTTAATTTAACTATACCTTTCCGTATCTGTAGAAGGCTCAATTTCTATCCTGGGACACGTCCTACTGAATAAACCAACCTCAGTGTGTTAGTGCCACACTTAGTACATGCTATTCAGTATATATTTGCTTAAAAAGGCACAACAGATCAGTATTTGAGAAAGTAAATAAATCAACTTGAGCTTTAAATCCATAACTGGGATCCATTACTACACAAAGCCTCAGTGGGAACATAAATGTGGCATCTGCTCCTGGCAGTTGATAACAGATGAGTAAAGAAAGGGCGAGCGTTTGTGATGTGCTGTGGGTGTTTATCTCTTCAGAAGTCTTACCTGTAGTCTGCACTGGTTCCATTCATGACATGATTGGGCCATGGAGTAGATACATGATTGGGCCCATTGTAATATCTTTAAATGGAGGATGAGGATCGATAGATTGAAATGAAGAAAGGAAAGCATGATTAGAATGAGCAACAGCTGAGTTAGGGCAAGGGGTGAGGGTTATGTCTGTAACTAGTATAAAACAGGCCTATTATGAATGCATGAACAGAATGCATGTCTCAAGTAAAGTATCCAGATTTTACCTCTCAGGAGATTCAAATGAGTCACTGTAGGCAGACATTTGCCTATCTTTCCTCATCCTCCTGAACACAAAATAACACACAATCAGATCCTATGTGACAACGTAACTCTACTTGCCAAAAATAAGCCAATACAGCCGTAGGGTGCTATAGATTCACATACCCATTCTCAATATTCATATTCATTCATTCTCATGATATGGTGTGATATATCACTATTTTTCCAAGAGAATGGGACATTAACATAATGGGACATTTATGGGTCACACTTTAGTTTGGGGACCAATTCTCATTATTAACTGACTATAAACTATGACTTTTACCTCAATAAGCTCCTAATTATTGCTTAGTAATAGTTAGTAAGGTAGTTATTAAGCTTAGGTATGGGATTGGTTTAAGGGATCTAAAATATGGTCGTGCAGAGTAAGGCATTGAAATGTGCTTTATAAGTACTAATAATTAGCTAATATGCTAGTGATATGCATGCTAATAAGCAACTAGTTAGTAGTGAGAATTGGTACCTAAACTAAAGTGTCACCCGTTATGTATTTGGTAGACACTTTTATCCAAAGTGACTTATGTTGCATTCAAGGTATACATTTTATTGGCTCATGCATTCCCTGGGAATCGAACCCATGACCTTGGTGTTGCAAGTGCAATGGTCTGCTGCTTGAGCTAGAGGAAATCTCTCAGGAAATCTAGGATTTTCAAGAATTAATAGGCTGCCTGTGCAAAACTCAGTGCCACAGTACAGGGCTGTTGTGGGTGGTTGCAAGAAAGTTGCTAAGGGGTTCTGTGTGGCTTTTTAGCATGTTGCTTTGGCATAGGCGTAGTGTGAACCAACTGCAGGGTAAGGCTAACAGTAGCCTAATGTTAGTGTAATCTATTAACTACGCACACCATAAACCCATCTTTTTAGGCAATCAATGAAGGTGTCTGCACTGTATGATGAATGCACCTCTTACATTGCATGTACATCTGCACTCTGTTGTTTATAATGAGAGAATTCGCGAGAGTGCAGAATTCAGTCAGTGAGCGCGTGCACAAAACAAAGGCGTTTCAGAGATGACTACCTCTGATTGACCATTGCATTCTTAAACTCAACGGAATCGTGTGTGATTGGTTATACTGCGCAACACTATAAAAACGCATACAAATAAATATGATGCAACATTAGCAATCCTAAATGCATGGGGTAACTTTTTGTATGTGTCAAAATGTAATAGTTACTATGAGCAATAGTAAAAGTGATGCTTGATTTAGCAAATGTCACTGATTAAAAGCTCAAAGTTGTAGTTCAAACAAAAGAGCATGGTGCTAGCAATACCAAGGTCATGGGTTTGATTCCCAGGGATCGGACAATTTCAAGTCTACACCGACCCTTATAATCTAATCGACATTTCGTTCAGATCAATTGTTTACATGAAAGCTATTCAATCCTACTGAGTCATTAATCCGATTACTAATGGATTATTTGGATGTATATAAACGTATTTTGAGCTGTGCTTCATACATCACTATACTTTTGACAATGGACCTATTTGTTTGCAAAAGTTTGCTATGTGACCACACCTATTTTCATTATTATATGAAAACGGTGCATAAATTATATGTGAATCGCACCTTGGGGCCTCTCTAACCAAAGCTGGCTAGATCCACAACATCTGAGTATCCACTAAGCCTACAAAAACATACTGAATAGATGGAATCCCACATATCTAAATAATACATTCATATTTAAGCATGGTGAACATCCACTGTAGCTTGCAGTTTTTTGACTGGCAGTTCTGTCATAGAGTGACGCTAGTTAGCTTGGGACCGAAAGAACTATAGAGATCAGTCATCAAAACAGCACCAGCCATCCAAAGAGCAGTGCTGAGGATACAATTCATTACACCATGGCGGGAAGGATGGAGTGGGAGCTGCTAAGGACACACCGCACACATTTCCTTTGGGAAATATTGCTGGCGTACTTAGTGGTGTAGTTGGCAAAGTTACAATCTGAGCACTATCATGTACGTTATCCTCCAGAGAGGCTCCTGCACAAAGCTTTCTCAATGGGCGGAAGACTGATGCTACAGCCAAAGTGCCTTACAAATCTTTACCACATTTCTTTAAGAAAATGACATTCGCCGTTATCGGCTCCTTTTCCGCCCATTGGAAAGTTTCCTAAAATGGATCCTAATCCACACTTTGTAAATCAGGTGACGTCAACGTAGGGCTGCACGATGAATCGCATTTTAATTGTGATCACGATTTCCACTTCCCTTGATTTATTAAAGCGATAGTTCACCCAAATGAATATAGAAGTAACATAAGAAATGAGAGAAATATAGAAGCTCAATGTGGAGATCTTAGTTAGGTTAAAACCGAAACTAAGCCATTCACACAGAACGCATTCGGCACATTTTTGAGACGCACAACTATGTTGCACTCACGTCTCGCACAAGAGATGAATACAAAGCCATGTAAAGTTAAAAGAGGTTCAACTTTTAGAAAACATGTCTGGAGAATTTGTGGGGATTATGTTCCATTCCACTGAGTCTCATATGTTTTTAAATGCAATCGTGTAATCGGCGCTTTGGCTATTTGTATTAAGCTACGCATAAATACATGATGCAGTTTTTGTTTATGCAATTTACGAAATTATATTTGATTTATGTTAGTTTAAATGTTATGTACTTTTTTTATTGACATTGAATTTAACAATTTAATACGGTGCATTATTTTGCTCATTGCGACCTCCTGTGGAGACAGACCAAATCTTTCCTTAACACTTATTTAATCTGCATATAATATATATAAAAAAAATAGATATTCATTGAAATTGTATTTTGTGTTTGACTGTTAAAACTAAAATGATTTGTTGTTTGTCTTAATACATTGGGTAAAAAATACAGTGGTTAATAAAAAAAAATCTACTGCTCTTTGTTTAAAAAAGATTATTAAAAAATGACAATAATTATTGATACCGATATGATATGAAATTGTGATCATTTTTTTGGCTATAAAGTATCAAGTATACACCCTCAAGTATAGCCTATACTTGAGGGTGAGTAAATGATGACAAAATTTAAATTTTTGGGTGAACTATCCCCTTAGGATAATCATCAGCGGTTATTTATCCTGAAAACATTTCATTTTAATTTGGCATTTGCGTTATCTTGCACTAGTAATAAGACTCCACAAGCTTTCATAGTTGCGGTTGCCAGATTTCAAGAGCTTAAATCCCCCAATCAGAGCTTTTTTCATATTGATAATGAAAACTGGCAACCATGCACACACATTCTCTCTACATTACAGAAAAAGCGCTGATGAGCTGAAAACACTGGCAAACATGTAAGTTGGAGTTTAACGATCTCCATTGAGATATTCTTCTCAAATACAAGCGTAATACAGCCAGTCAGCTTTCTTTCACGCAGCCATTTTGCGCTGTTTGCAGCGACTTGATCCGTGAGCAAACCACGCGAGTTGAAATTCTCTTGATTAGTGCTTAAATTAAAGTGCAATAATGTAAAAAAAATCTATAAAAATAATAATAAAATGACAGTATTTCGTGATTATATTTTTTTAAGCAAAATCGTGATTAACCAGTTATCGTGCAGCCCTACATAAATGTGAAACATTTTGAGAGGTGCCACTAGCTACTCTAGTCCAAACTACTACCCACAGCACTAATATGGAGCAGCATGAGAACGAGAGTGAACCGCTGTGGTTTACTACCTGTCCACGCTATTGTAAGCCCCGTCTGAGAAGGCACGGGCCATCCTAGTGGAGCGCAGTAACCTGACCGCGTCCTCCCGATAGAGGGGGTGCATACTATGAGTCAGAACAGAAAGTGAGAGTGCAGTGGTTAGAGTCGGGTTGGGTAAGTTGGCCTTATCTAGGTGATAAAGTGGCGGAGCTCTTAAACTCTCTTTATCCGGCACTTCCAGGCACAGGTGAAGATCGCTCGAAGCACAAAAGCAGAAATCAAGTAACTTTGGGTCAAGAGAACTGGCAGATATGCTAAGCAATCAAAACTATCATGTTGCAGCACACACCAGCAGCAACAAATATTTGTTCATCCCACAGAAGTGCAGATGTAGCTCTTTTTTCAGCGGCGAGAATTAAAAATGTGCAAGTGCGACTACTTGTGTACAGTACTATTGCACACTAGATAACACTAGCATACAGTGTTGGGGGTAGCATGAGTTACGTAATCAGATTACTTTTTCAAGTAACTAGTAAAGTAACACATTACTTTTTAATTTACAATAAAAAATCTGAGTTACTTTTTCAAATAAGCAACGCCAGTTACTTTGTTTTCCCATTTATTCACTGACTCCTCTCCTGTCCCCATGATGAGAGAAATTAAAGGTGAGGTGCAGAGGCACTTCCTTCAGCCTGAGGCTTATTAATTTCACTTTTGGTGTGAAAGGGCCTTTACAGTTGCTAAAAATATAACTTTTGGGTGTTTTGCTATTAAAATTCGCCAAGTAATGCAAAGGTATCGTTCCTTAAAGAGTAACTAAGTAACGCAATATTGTAATGCATTACTTTTAACTTTCCCCAACACAGCTAGCAAGTGCACAACACTACTGTGCTTTTTAAAAGAATTCACCAAACAGTTGTGTGTGTGTGTGTGTGAGAGAGAGAGACAGAGAGAGAGAGAGAGATAGCGATATATAGATAGATAGATATCTTCTAGTATTCTAGTCATCTATATATAATACTAGAAGATCATTATAGATTGCAACTCTATTTGCTCTAAGCAAATTAAAGGTCAAAGTATGGTTTGGTTTCATACAGTATTTCGTCATCAGAATAGTCAAACACAATAGTACTGATCTGCACGATTTGTGAAAAGTGAATCAGGCACAATTCATTCTCGGTGAATTCCCCCTGCCAGTTTCAATACAAGTTTTGCTCTTTGGCCACTGAAAATTACAGTACCATTGAAAAGTATGGGGTCAAGAAATTAATACTGTTATTCAGCATTGATGCATTACATAGATTAAAGTGACAGGAAATACATTTACATTGTTACAGAGATTACTATTTTAAAAAATGCTGTTCTTTTGAACTATCTATTCATCAATCTTGAAAATACATCACGATTTCCACAAAAATATTAAGCAGGACAATTATGTTACAAATAATGTTATTTCAAATAAATGCTGCTCTTTTGAACTTAATTCATCAAAAGATCCTGAAAAAGTGTATCATTGTTTCCACAAAAATATTAAGTAGCACAACTGTTTTCAACATAGATAATAATAATAATCAGAAATGTTTCTTGAGCAGCAAATCAGCATATTATACTGATTTCTGAAGATCATGTGACACTGAAGACTGGAGTAATGATGCTGAAAATACAGCTTTGATCACAGCAATAAATTGTATTTTACAATATATTTGAATAGAAAAAAGTTATTTTAAATTATAATAATATTTTTGTTTTATTTTTATCATATATATATATATATATATATATATATATATTTATTTTTTTTTTTTTTTTTAAAAAAAAAAAAG